GGATGACACTGTCAAAAAAAAAAAACCATACTCATTACCTGAATTATGAAACTTACCTGCCCTAAACATAATTTTTATAATGACCAAAAAATATATTTTATAAAAATCTCAGTGACAGCTCCTAGGATCAGCACACACACACACACACACACACACACACACACACACACACACGCTCATACACACACTTGATTCTCCTATCCTAAAATGTGTCAAAATGATAGTGTGTGTGCGTGCGTTTTGTTTTCTTTATCATGGAGAAAGGAGCAGTGACACAGATTTATCATTTTAATTGCCACTCCATGAAGAAAGTGAACAGAGAATTCTGGACTTTGGAAGGGCTAGGCAAAGGTTTATTACATCATGAATAAGGTCATCATCATCATCACAGTTATTTTGGGTGTTGGGGACATGACAGATCTTCTGAATCCTACTCTGGTGGGAGAGATTCTTTGATAACTTGGAACAAGTATGGAAGGCAAACAGAAGCAGTAATTGGATTCCTCACACCATTTCTGTAAGTCAAAATATTAACATCCTAGGCCTGTGAGATAAATCCTGCCTCCAGGTACCCCTCCCATCCAGCTACCCCAGCTATGCTCTCAGCATGGTCATCCCTCCTCCATCCATGGGTCAAGTAGCACTTACTGGGCTGCACTGGGTCTTTGCTGGGATGAGACCAAAGAACACTGTCATTTTCTGCCCTGATTCCTGTGAGATGCTCAGCTCAGTGCTCAGGTCGGGCAGGAAGACAGGACTACATGGGAGTCCTCTTATTCTGCTGATGAGCCTGGCAGAAGAACACACTGCCACAAAGAACATGGGCTACAAGGAGCCAGTTGCAGGGCAGAGATGGAGAATGGGTTCTTATACCCAGCTCACCTGGAAGCTCAATGTTCAGATCTGTTCCTTATTTAAGTTGATCCATGGATCTTAATTGCTAAGGACTTGTTAATCCCAATGGAGCAAGAATGGGAAAGAAAATAATTGCTAGGAAAGATCTGGCCCTCTTTACCTCAAGAGTAAACCAAATTGCCCTCTGTTGATTTCTAAGTTGTGGGTATTTTATAAAATTCAGACACTATACATTTTTTTTAATTTGACAGTGTTCTGGGACTTGAACCCAGGGCCTAGGCATTGTATCTGTACACTCTTGCTCAACACTAACACTTTATCATTTGAGCCACAATTCCACTTCTAGCATTTTGTGGTCTCACAGATATAAGGGTCTCACAGACTTTCCTTCCTGTTCTGCCTTTGAACAACCAGCCTCAAATCTCAGGCTACTGAGGAACTAGGTGTTCACAAGGTGTGAACCACTGACACCAGGCACTAATTTTGTTCAATTAAAAAGTTATCATTTGGGGCTGAGAAGGTGGCTGGTGGTAGAGTGTTTGCCTTGCATGCATGAGGCCCTGGGTTTGATCCCTCAGTACCACATAAGCAGAGAAAGCAGAAGTGGCACTGTGGTGCAAGTGGTAGAGCACTAGCTTTGAGCTGAAGAGGTGAGGGACAGCGCCCAGGTCCAGAGTTCAAGCCCCACGACCGACCGAAAAAAAATTATTATTTTGAAATTTAAAAAATTTGTCTTTTATAATCTTTCAGTAGTTGCACAAGCAATTTCAATTCACCATGACATCTATAAAAACAATGAATATTTTGTTAATTTTTTAATGTCACTTGTGAGGCTTGAAGTCTGGACCTGGGCACTGTCCCTCAGGTCTTCAGTTCAAGGTGAGGGCTCTACCACTCAAGCCATAACTGCACTTCTGATTTTCTGGTAGTTAATTGGAGATAAGAGTCTCACGGACTTTCTAGCCCATGCTGGCTTTGAACTGTGATCCTCACATCTCAGACTCCTGAGTAGCTAGGATTACAGGCATAAACCACCAACACCTGGCTAGCATTTTTATTTTATTGTACAAAGGAGTTTTAATTCTGTAAGTCAGATTATAAGCACAATCCTTCCTAACCATCAATCACCCCAATAGCTAACTGCATACTACCCACCCCCACCCTGTTACACCTAGTTCCATTGTAATGGAACATTACAATTGAGCATTGTCATTGAACATTTCATTATTTTATATTTATTTTTAGTGAAGGTCCTGTGGCTTGCACTAAGGCACTGAGAACTATCCCTGGACGTTTTTGCTCAAGGCCAGTGTTCTACCACTGCAGCCACAGCTCCATTTTTTTTATTGACTACTTAGAGATAAGAGCCTCACAGACTTTCCTACCTGGCCTGTGGGCTTCAGATCTCCTGAGTAACTAGGATTACAGCTGTGAGCAACCAGGCCTGGCAATCTTTGTACATTTTAAGGGGGATATTTCACAACCTGTTAATTCAGACATGGACTATACCGTTATTGTATATTGTGAATCAAATACAAGTTCCATTGTTTTCCTCCTTTACAATGTATAACTAAAGAAGAACTTCAAATATTTTCTTCTTTGGCCCCTATAAACAGAAAAAAACTCTGTCAGTAATGGAAGCTTTCCTTTAGTTTGAACAGTCTATATTTCCTTTATCTTCCAAGTAAATGTGTGTTTGCACAGTACACTATTAATAATTTTGAAACACCTTTTAGGACATGTTATTTTTTTTAAAAAAATACGGGTTAGATGGACTGTATCTATAATCCCATCTCTGCATGAAACAGAGGTACGCAGATCATTATTTATGACTAGTCCTGAGAAAAAGCAAGAACTAATCTAAGAAAAGCAAAGCAAAAGGATAATTGAGACAGGGCTCTAGGAAAGCTCTGGAGTTTAAAGCCAAGTACCGTTTCCTCACAAAGTAAGGGAGAAAGGAAAAAAGACAGGAAAGAAGGAACAAAGAAGGAAGGAAGGAAGGAAGGAAGGAAGGAAGGAAGGAAGGAAGGAAGGAAGGAAGGAAGGAAGGAAGGAAGGAAGGAAGACAGGAAGGAAAGAAAGGGAGAGAGGGAGGGAGGGAGGGAGGGAAGAAAAGAGAATAAGCTTCCACCAGAAAATGGCATGGTATTTTTTTCTCTTTGGAAAATTAAATAAGGAAAAAGCTAAATCTATAGCACAATAATATATAGCCACATAGTAAGTACAAATAGGCTACTATATAGCTTACAATGGAGAAGGAAACTGAGAGGTACCACAATGATAACCCTTGTTTTCTGAACACATATGGCCATCTTCAGTCACACAAGTTCACAAGATACCTTCATTCCTCAAGTGGCCATTTATTGATCAAGAAAGGAAAATAGCATAAAAATTATCTTCATAAAGACATTGCTCTGTAGGTCTTTCAATTGGTAATAGTTGAAAGATGAAAATTATAACCAAAAAGACAAAGTAACCCAGAATCATCAATGAGAAAAAGCAACCACACCACTCACTAAGAGGCATAAGGAGATAAATAAATGTTAATGGTCACTATCTACTAGTCAAAGAATGATAAAAGGCTGAATGGGAAAAAAAAAACAGAACTTTTCTAATTTGCAAACCACAATGTGATAGGGAAAGGTTTTGGAGCAGGAAAGGAAAAAAATAAAAAGCATAAAGTACAGGAAAGAAGTGTTCTGGGAAGAAAAATAATCTTGAGCAGAAAACTCTGGTTGAACTAGTGGTTCATCTTCTATTCCTAGCTACTCAAATGAATGAAATAAAGATGATTTACTTCAAAGCCAATCCACATAGAAAAGAAAAGAAGGAAAGAAAAGAAATAACAATAGAAAGAAAAAGAAGAGTAGGGAAGAAGGAAGGAAGGAAGGAAGGAAGGAGAGGAAAAGAGAAAAGAGGAGGCTGGTAGCATCTGGTGACACCAAATAAAGGGAGGAACAGGAAAAGATGGGGTCTCAACATTCTCTTTGTGGTCATGCCTCCAATGACTTAACTTCCTCTTTTTTAAAAATTATTGTGAAAATGCCATACAGAGGGGTTATAATTACATGGGCAAGATAGTGAGCACATTTCTTATCAAGCATTGTTGCCTCCTCCTTTATTTCCCCATACCATCCCTTCCCCTCTCCACCCTCCCATCCGCACACCCCACTACCATCCCCCTACGTCCCACCCCCCAGCCCACCAAAGTTGTAAAGTTCATTTTTCGACATAACGTCTTGTACATCTCATTGTTGTAATGGGTCCACCTGTAACCTGATTTAAAGTTATTTTTCCCTTCCCCTCCACAAATTATACCAACATCAAATACAATGAAAGCAGGTCTTATACTCTGGGGGAGGTACATACAAAGCAACAAAGAAATCATCTTATAACTATGTTGGAAACAATTGCAAGAAAGAAAAAAAGCATTTGAATCCTTATCTTGGAGTTCATTTTGCCTAACATCAACTTGTCTGACAGTTTCTGTTTGTCTCAGACATATACTGGTTATTGAAAATAAGGGAAACCATAGGACCTATGTTTCCTTGGGCCTGGCTTACTTCAGTTAATATAATTTTTCCCAAGTTTTTCCATTTCCTAACAAATGGGGCAATGCCATTCTTTCTGACGGAGGCATAGAATTCCATTATGTATATATACCACCTTTTCTTGATCCATTCATCTACTGAGGGGCCTCTGAGTTGGTTCCATACCTTAGCTATGGTAAATAATGCTGCAATAAACATAGTTGTGCTGGTAGCTTTAGTATGGTCTTGTTTGTGATCATTTGGGTAAATGCCTAAAAGTGGGATTGCTGGGTCATAAGGGAGTTCTATGTAGAGTCTTTTGAGGTACATCCATACTACTACCCAAAGTGGTTGAACAAGTTTATACTCCCACCAACAATGCAGTAAGGTTCCCCTCTGTCCATATTCCCTCCAGCATCTGTTGTTATTAGAGTTTTTGATTATAGCCATTCTAACTGGGGTGAGGTAGTATCTCAATGTTGTTTTGATTTGCATTTCTTTTATGGCTCAAAGAAACAACTGCCCAATAGATAAGTGGGCTAACTTCCTCTTATCAAGCCCCATTTTCAAAATCTTCTATCACCTCTGTACACCACTTCAGATTGTAGAGCAAGTCTAGAAGCTGGTAGAATATAAGAAGCATTCAAGATCCAAACTACAGAAGTTCTAAAATGAAGTGATGTTCACAATGAAACCATCATCATCATTGTCATCATCATCATCATCAAAACTACCGAAATTCACAAGTATGCTTCCATTTCTAGTTGCTTGGTTTTAAAGATTTTCATGATTCACGAACCCAAACAACATGACCGAAGTTATTAGGGGTCATTCTCACCAGCCTCCAAAGAGCTCTCTTGATGTCTCTGTTCCTTAAACTGTAGACAAAGGGATTCAGCATGGGGGTGACCATGGTGTACATCACCGAGGCCACCATCACTTTCCTGTTGGCATCAGAAATAATTGAACTGCAATATGCCCCAATGGCTGTTCCATAAAACAAGCACACAACTGAGAGGTGAGAGCCGCAGGTGGAGAAGGCTTTGTATTTCCCACTGGCTGATGGGATTCCAAGAATAGAGGAAACAATGCGAGCATAAGAGTACAGTATCCCGGAGACTGGAAGCCCACCAAAGACTGCAGCAAAGAGAAAGATGAAGATATTCTTAGTGGAAGTGTAATCACAGGCAAGCTTAAAGAGTTGAGGAGGCTCACAGAAGAAATTGGGAATTTTTACATCTGTACAGAAGTTAAATCGTGACACCATCAAGTAGTGTGGCAGGGAGTCCAAAAGACTGAGGACCAATGACAGAAGGACCAACCTAACACAAAGGCGGGGGCTCATGATGAGTGAGTAGTGGAGAGGGTGACAGATGGCCAACAAGCGATCATAGGCCATCACTGCCAACAGCAGACTGTCCAAGCAACCAAACAAAATAAAAAAGGCAATTTGCATTAGGCAGTCAGCATAGCTGATGGATTTGCTGTGAGTCTGGAGGTTCTCTAGCATCTTGGGGACGGTGGTGGAGATGAATCCAATGTCAGCCAAAGAAAGGATGGAGAGGAAGAAATACATGGGGGTGTGGAGGTGGGGGTCATAGCTGATGACCAAGATGATGAGAAGATTTCCGAGCACGGTGATCAGGTACATGGCCAGAAACAGCCCAAAGAGGACAAGCTGCAGGTCTAGATCATCTGTCAGTCCCAGGAGGAGAAATTCCAAGATGCTTGTTAAGTTCTGTGGCTCCATGTAGCTAGGACACCTTTTGAAAAAAGGATATATTATTGGAATAAATAAAGTAGTATACATGCCACCAGCTAATTATCTATAATTTGCATTCATGTAAATCAAAATAATCTGTTCAATTAATGTCTAGAGTCCTACCTAATTTAGCATGTTCTAGTGTGTGTATCTATGTCTATATGAATAGTATATATATATATATATGTAGTGTTATTTTATTTATATATTACATATTTTATATTATATATCATATAGTGTATATATAGTATATATGTGTATATATATTGATCTGTGTGTTTACTATATTTATTTTATTGTAAAGGTGATGAATGGGGGCTACAATTACATATGTAACTTTCTTTTTAACAGTTATCCCCTCCCTCATTTTTTCTCTTACCCTTTCCTACTCCTCTCCCCACCACCCCCTAGTTGTATAGTTCATTTCCAACATAGTGTCGAGTGCGTATCATTGTGGTATTAGTTCGTCTTTTGTCCTGTTTACTTGTTTATTTATATACACATATATGAGTATATGATCGTGTTAAATAATATTTTGTGAAATGAACTCCAAGAAAGGAAATAAGAAAAAATTTTAGTTGTTGTTGTTGCTGTTTTTTTCTTTTCCTTTTGTCTTTTAAGTTTGTTTGTATTTGGGAAGGTAAGGGGTGTATAGAAAAGTTGCAACAAATGGTGAACAAATACAACAAATATCCTTGCAGTATATTAATAACAACAATGTCTAAAATTTACATGCCCAATGATCTGAATCAGCCTTGTTTAGTTGCATGCAGTATCATGAATTTTTCAGTTGGAGCTCAGTGTGGTTAGAATGTTCTCTTCTGAGACAACTCAGATGAGAATGTGAAGGTTACCCACAGGTGACACAAACATTCAAAATAGAATTGTGGGTGTTTGAGGTCCAACCAACGGACTTGCTCAATGGGCCACTAAATTTCAGAAGTTTAAAAGCAGGGGGCTAGAGTTTGTATTCAAATTTCATATATATATATATGTATATATTATCATATATATCAAATTACTTATATGTACTCTGTTGTATATACCAATATATTATATGGTGTATATATAAATATACAGATATATAATATTAATTATATACATATATTTCATATTATATAATATAATATATTTAAATATTTTGGTTATATATCATATACATGTATATATATGTAAATTGTTAATTCTTCCTTGTTATCTAATCCAGAGGAACACCCAGTAGAGATCTCTCAGAGATGGGTCCCGGGATGAAATCACAGGGTGAGGAAGACTGTAAGCAGCAAAGCCAAAAATTCTAGTGCCAACACTTTGTGTGGCTCCACCTGTAACACCAGCCATGCTTCCTGCAGCTGCTATAGTAAGGTCACCTACAGATATCTACGGTATAAGAAACACCCAAAGGAAATGACACAGAGATCAGCATTGCCCAGGACAACAGGAACAGAAATATCACATTGTATTGTTAGGAAAGAGGGATTTGGTCTTGGTTTCTACATTCACACATGACTGCTCCTATTCAATATCAGAAAAAAATTACATTAAAAATTCAGTTTTTGGCTGGCCATTGGTGGATCACAGGTGACCCTAGCTACTAAGGAGGCTGATCTGAGGATCATGGTTCAAACCAACCCAGGCAGGAAGCTCCTTGAGATCCTTATCTTCAACTATCCAGCAAAGAGCTGGATTTGGCTCAAGTGCTAGAGTGCAAGACCTTTCATGGAAAAGTTTCAAGGATGAGGGAAGGAGTGACAATTTCCAAAAAGAAAGGTACTCTTTACCTGACTTATGCAACTGCAACCCCTCTGTATAAAATCTTAATTATAAAAATAAAAATTCATTTTGTAAAAGCTCAGGGACTGCTCCCAGGACTTAAGTTGTAGCCCCAGGACTGGCATGAACACATACACGTACACACACATAATTGATTCTCCTATCCTAAAAGGTATCATCATGATAAAATATGTAGTTTTCTATTGTTTATTATTGAGAGAAAAAGTAGGGATATAATTCTTTGTTTTGGGTTTTTTTTTTTAGTTGCCTGCTACATGAAAAAGTTATCTGTGAGGTTAGGACTTACAAGGCCTAAGTAAAGGTTTATTTAACCATGGTTAACGTCATCATCATTACAAATATTTGGGGGGTTGGACCATGACAGAGCTCTTGCATTCTCTACTGGGAGAGATTCTTCAATTACTTGGAACATGTATGGAAAGCAAACAGAACAGTAATTGGAGTCCAAAATTCACTACTGTAAGTCAAGATGTAAATGTCCTAGGGCTGTGATATAAACTCTGCCTCCTGGTAACCCTCCCATCCAGCTACCCCAGCTACATTCTAAGCATAACAAACAAGCCAGGTCACTGCCTTCCCTCCTCCATCCAGGGGTCCAGTAACACTTACTGGGCTGCATTGGGTCTTTGCTGGGAGGAGACCAAAAGACACTTGGTTGTTTTCTTCCCTGCTTTGAATGAGATACTCAGCATAGTGCTAAGGGCTGGCAGAAAGACATGACCCACAGGAGTCCCTTGGTTCTTTGATAAGCCTGGCAGAAGGACACACTTCCACACAGACCATGGGCTACAAGGAGATAGCTGAGGGCAGTGACACAGAATGGGTTCTTATAACCAGCTCACCTGGACAGTAAATGCTCAGAGCTGATCATTAGTCAAGTTGGTCCATGGATTCTAATTACTAAGGACTTGCTAATCCCAATGGAGAAGGAAAGGGAGAAAATTAATTGCAAGGAAAATTAATTGCTTTACCTCAGGAGGAAGCTGAATTGACTTATTATGATTTCTAATTTGCAGCGATTTTATGAAATTCAGACAATTTTTTTGTGTGTGGTATCCTAGAGATTGAACTCAGGTCCTTGGTGCTGTCCTTGGACTTTTTTTGCTCAAGGCTTGTGCTCTACCACTTGAGTCAGAGCTCTGCTTTCAGTTTTGTTTTTGGTGATTAATTGGAGATAAGGGCCTTACAGCCTTTCCTGTCTATGCTGGCTTTTGAACTGTGATCCTCAGCCCTCAGCCTCCTGAGAAACTAAGATTATAAGTGTGAGCCACTGGCACCAGGCACTAATGTTTTTTTCAATTGAAAATGTTACTATTTGAAACTTAAAATGTTTATCCTTTTATTATCTGTCAACAGTTGTACAAAGGGTTTTCAATTCAACATGACAGCTATAAAAACTATGTTTTTTTAACATTTGTACTTTAAGTAGTTGTACAAAGGGGTTTCAATTAAACAAATTAGATTATGAGTACAATCCATCCTGTACATTGTCATCCCTTTCAACTTTCTTCCCTGCATCTATCTGAATGCCATTTATCCTCCCTGAGTTCCACTTCCATATGTGTACTCATTGAGTATTGTCATTGTACATTTTATTGTTTTTATTTTATTTTCAGAGGAAGGTCATGTGGCTTGAACTCAGAGCCGAGGCACTGTCCCTGAACATTTTTCTGAAGGTCTTTGTTCTACCACTTGAGCCACAGCTTCACTTCCGTCGTTTTGTTGGCTAACTAGAGCTGAGAGCCTTACGGACTTTCTTACCTGGGCTGGCTTTGAACTGTAATCCTCAGATTTCAGCTGCCTGAGTAGCTGGGATTACAGGCCTGAGCCATCTCACTTGGCTATCTCTGTACATTTTAACTCAGATATTTTCCAACCTATTAATTCAGACATGGAATATACACAGTTTGTTCTATATTATGAATCAACTACAAGTTCCTTTTTTTTTCTCCTTTGCAATGGATAACTCTAAGGAGAATTTCAAATCTTTTCCTTGTTGGCTCTGTGTTGGAGAGGGAAATCTCCTGTGGCACTCTAGATTCTCCTTTATCTTCCAAGTCCATGTGTGTTTATACAGCATGCAATTATTTATTTGGAAACACCTATTAGGAAGGAATATGTGAACCAAGTGGACTAAGGACTTAGCTCAGTGTTGTAATGCTTTTCTCGCAAGTATAAGCTCCATGATTCAAAAGGAAGCAATATTTCAAATAACAAACATTCTATTTGGATGGAAGAGATGTCATAGAAATAAACAATACAGGTTATCCTCATGTGTTTCTTTGCAAAAGTATTATTGTAGAGAAGACAGAGTTTTTAACATAGGATTTTGGAAAAAGCAGGTATTTACATGTAAAAGACTAAAAGCAAGTTCTTTTTTTCTGCTTTATTTGCTTTGCTTTATAAGTCTTTAAGTAGTTATAGAAAGAGTTGCCATTTAGCAGTTTATGAATGTAATGTATCTTGATCAATGTCACCTTTTAACATTCCCATCCATCTCTCCTCTACCTCCCCTTATTCTTCTTAATTTTGTAGGATATACTTTGGATTCTTGTCGGCATATCTTTTCCTCTTTTCCTCTTCATTCATCAATTGCTTTCCCCTTGACCCCACCCCATCCATTTCTAGTACATTCTTCCTGGTGTTTTATTGTGCTGAACTTTGATTTTATCTGTCTAAGGAATTATACTATTTGAGATCAACCTTGAATCTACCTTATTTCAGCTAAGACATTTGCATACCACCCAACATGTTTACTATATACTCAAAAGCTAAATCTTGAATCCACATATAAGGGAAAACAAGCATTTTTAAAAGCAGATTCTTTTTTTTT